ATGGGGAAAAAATGCAGCACATCTTTGACTCTCAGAGCAAGAACAGGTTATTTCCACTCCCACAAGCTCTAACAGAGAGAAACGGAGACTGTTACTGTTTAATCAATATATTCAATTTATTTACTTCATTGTACATATTTTTTAAAAATACCCAAGTGGTGCACAAAAAGAGAAAGTGAGTCATAGTGTAAATCATAAAACAAAGCCAGTAAGTATTAAAAGCTGCAGAAGTAAAATGGGCCAAGTTGGGAAGACTTGAGGGGAGAGACAAAAAGTTTTCAACAAACATAAAAATTTTACGATGTTGGGGCTGACTTCTCTTGTGGTGACCAGAATTCCAGAGACCTATGCCACAACACTAAAAGCATGTGTGCTCAAGTCACTGTGAGCTTTACTGCAATTGCGCCACCTGCTGGTGCAGTTTCACACACAACCCCCTTTTACTTCAGATTTAATATCCACTGAAAAAGTCTTAATCTGCAGCTATAAACTCCAAGGGTTTACTCCCTTGAATCTGTACATTATTTTTACTTGCACCAGCTTGAAGGTTACAGATTTCAGAGACCACTTGGAAGAGGGTCAGTGAAGAAAAATACAGCAAAATGCCTCAACTATCCACACAAACCTGCAGGAAACGCTTTAGAAATCGTTTTAATCCTTGTTATACAAACCTCATTATGTTACATAGAATTCACAAGCAGCATAACCTGAAAATGCTGCGTAGTGTGTGGACATATGGGCCCCTTTTCATACCTAGTGTGAGTGCCCAATAGCATGAGATTATTGGGATTTCAGATTTTATATAAATGTGGTGAAGATCCAAAGTTTACTCATTGCATCTCATTGAGCAGGATAATTTTCTGAACTCTGGCAAGGACCCTCTTCTCTGCTTGTTTCATGCGCCAAAATATATGGGAAGAAATGAAAATACCATTAACCGGGTTGCTGAAGATACATTGAGAAAGTACATGTTTGTCCTTTCCCCCCTTTGATATGGGGAGCAGGGAAGATAGAAAGATGGTTGATTTGCCCAACTTCGCATAACAACTCTGTCCTGGCAATTTGTTTTATGCATTATCAAAAGGAATGGATAAAATAGCTATATTGAATCTATAGGAGATATTGCAGTAGGAGTAGCTAATGTGGTGCCTTCCTATTGTTATGGACTACAATTCCCATCATCCCTGGCCATTGGCCATGCTGTCTGGAGCTCATGGGAGTTGTAGTTCCAAATTATCTGCCACCCCTGAGCTAGAAAAGGCATCAAAACCATATAAATGCATAGTTTTGGGCTAAACCCCTGTTTTTTCAAAATTGGTGTTGAAAAAACCCCTTTTTTTCAAAATTGGTGTATCATGCATCATGGTATAGGTAAGTACACCTAGACATTGCTTCTTACATATATTTTTACTCGTCCCTGTTCTTATACTATGCCAAGATGTTACCTATTTGATGTTGCTTATTAATGTAGTCTGTACAAGTGAAAAAATAAAATGTGATATGGGTCTCATCTAATGTAAGTCATTTTCAAAATGGACCAACTGAAGTAATTTGAGTCCCCTTTGTCTATTCTGAGAATGACTCACATTGGATATTAACCAATATTCTTTCCTTAAAGGTCCCCCCAAAAGTGTATGCAACAAAATCTGGACTCATAACTCTTAACTCAATGCCCATGCAGAAATCTGAATGTTTAGATCAGTGAGGCAGAATACAGCAGTGCTGTCAGAAGGCTGAATCTTTGTCTTCCATTGAGCGAACGGCCTCTCCCGTTTCCTATGTTAAGAACCAGGGAATGAACCAGATAATCTAATGGACCCTTTCCCCTGCTGACAAAGGGATTTGACCCTATTGGCAGGGTCAGCAACAGAGAAGACCTTTCTGTCTGTGACCTTTTCACTGTTTGATTGTAAGTCAGAATCCATTAGGGAAGATGCATGGATCAAAGACTGGGGTTCCGGATACAGTGACCACCTCTTGACAGACATGGCCATGAAGTGTCAGAGGTCACTTTGGGATAAAAGACCTGCTAGTTGGTGCTACGGAAAAGGAAAGAAAAATCCCAATGCTTAGCAAAAGGGCCGTCTCTCCAAGTTGGTTGAGTAAACGCTAGCGTTTAGGAACACTGGTGTGTGGAAGGGAAGCAAGCAAGCAGGAAAAGAAACAGCAGGGTGTCTAGAGTCAACATCACGGCAGCAACATTATGGGATAGGTGTTTCCAGTTGCCTTACCCCCCTCTCCATCTTGGAATCCTTATAAGAAGCTGTTGCAGGAGTGGGGCTATGAGCAACATCACGGGAAAGGTGTTTCTAAGACCAAGGGGAAACTCAAGCGCCCTTGCTATTTTTGCTGTTTCCAGGAAAGGTGGTGATGTTGCATTTATAGTACTGAAATGTTGTTTTCTGTATGCTTCTGTATTTGCTTTTATGTTGTTGTTTTATCACATTACAGTGGTACCCCGCAAGACGAACGCCTCGCGAGACGAAAAACTCGCAAAACGAAAGGTTTTTTCGTTTTCGAGTTGCCTCGCAAGACGAATTTCCCTATGGGCTTGCTTCGCAAAACGAAGCTTGCCCCGGGGACAGCGGGTCTTCTCTTTTGAAGCAAGGGGCGGCGGGGAGATCGCTTCTCCCCACCGCCCCTTGCTTCAAAAGAGGTCTGCCCCCGGACCTCTTTTGAAGCAAGGGGCTGCGGGGAGATCGCTTCTCCCGGTGCTCCGAAGCGGGGTGGGGGGGGTGGGAACACCTGCCCCAGCCTCCGGGCTTCGTAGCGCTGCTGCGAAGCCGGGCGGGGGGCGGGAACACCTGCCCCAGCCACCCCGCTTCGGAACGCTGCTCCGAAGCGGGGGGGGGGGGGGCGGGAACACCTGCCCCAGCCGCCGGGCTTCGTAGCGCTGCTGCGAAGCTGGGCGGGGGGTGGGAACACCTGCCCCAGCCACCCCACTTCGGAACGCTGCTCCGAAGCGGGGTGGGGGGCAGGAACACCTGCCCCCGCCCCCGGGCTTCGTAGCGCTGCTGCGAAGCCGGGCGGGGGGCGGGAACACCTGCCCCAGCCACCCCGCTTCGGAACGCTGCTCCGAAGCGGGGTGGGGGGGTGGGAACACCTGCCCCCGCCCCCGGGCTTCGTAGCGCTGCTGCGAAGCCGGGCGGGGGGCGGGAACACCTGCCCCAGCCACCCCGCTTCGGAACGCTGCTCCGAAGGGGGGGGCGGGAACACCTGCCCCTGCCCCCGGGCTTCGTAGCGCTGCTGCGAAGCCGGGCGGGGGGCGGGAACACCTGCCCCAGCCACCCCGCTTCGGAACGCTGCTCCGAAGCGGGGTGGGGGGGCGGGAACACCTGCCCCAGCCGCCGGGCTTCGTAGCGCTGCTGCGAAGCCGGGCGGGGGGCGGGAACACCTGCCCCAGCCACCCCGCTTCGGAACGCTGCTCCGAAGCGGGGTGGGGGGGCAGGAACACCTGCTCCAGCCGCCGGGCTTCGTAGCGCTGCTGCGAAGCTGGGCGGGGGGCGGGAACACCTGCCCCAGCCACCCCGCTTCGGAACGCTGCTCCGAAGCGGGGTGGGGGGGGCGGAAACACCTGCCCCCGCCCCCGGGCTTCGTAGCGCTGCTGCGAAGCCGGGCGGGGGGGGCTGGAACACCTTCTGAAGGCGGGCGGGGGGCGAAAGTCTTTGTCCCCCCTGCCTGCCTTCCCAGGGCTTTTAAATCGCCCCGGACAGCGGAGAAGTCCTCCGCTGTCCCGGGGCGATTTTAAAATGCCGCCCGCCAGCATTTTAAGATCGCCCGGACAGCGGAGAAGTCCTCCGCTGTCCCAGGGTTTTTTAAAATGCTGGGGGTGGGAAGAAAAGCCCTTGTCCCCCCCCCCCCCCCAGCCTTCAGAAGAGGTCCGGGGACAGTCTGTCCCCGGACCTGGTCTGAAGGCGGTTTCCCTAGGAACGCATTAATTGATTTTCAATGCATTCCTATGGGAAACCGTGCATCGCAAGACGAAAAAACCGCAAGACGAAGAGACTTGCGGAACGAATTAATTTCGTCTTGCGAGGCACCACTGTATTATGGAATCGTTCTTGTGACTGTTGATTTGGAGATGTACTACTTTTTTTCTTCATTGTAACCTGTAAATTGTAAACTGCTCTAAGCACGATCCTTTTTGTGGAAAGCAGCATACAATTAAGATGAGGATGAAGCTGTGCCTTGCATAGCCCTTCGTGTTGTCTTCACTTCCCTTTTCATTTATTTTCCAATTTCCATTTTGAAATATGCATAACCCACCTTTTCTTGGCAGAGCTCATGCCAGCTAATGGCAACACATTTATTTATTTGGTTATTTAGTTCCGTAAGATTTCTTGCCCGCCTTTCACCACAAAAATAAAACATGCAGTTATAAAACAAACGAAACAGTTACAACCAAAACACTAGTGTAGTAACCAGCGCTGCTTTTCTAGAAAAAGAGGTGCCGGAACTCACCATGAACGCCTCCACATATAAAAACAGTTTAAAATAATTTCAGTACAGATGCAGACTGGGATGAAGATCTCCACTTAAAAGGCTTGTTGGAAGAGGAAGGTCTCTGGTAGGCTCTTAAAAAAACAGTGAAGATTATGCCTAGATAATATGTGGCTGAAGGGAATCGAAGGAGGATCGGTGCCTTCTTGGTGGTGGCATTCAGGCTATGGAACTCCTTGCAACAGGAAATACAGCTAAACCCCTGTCTATGCTTATAGACATGTTGTTTAAAGCACCTTGGTTTAGATGTATTTTTCAGTGGTGCTGCCTGAATATCAGCCAGTTTTATGGCTGGTGTTCAGCACTTCCCTGCTTTTTAATTTTTACTCTTTTATAATTGCTGTTTCTCTGGTTTTCTTTTGTACTATAAAGGGGGCAGGCCACCTTGATTCTTCTGTGCTTGTTTAAATAAATAGGGTACTCACTGCCAGCTTCCCTTGTGCACGCTAGTCTCACGTGCTCTGATACCTGTCCTTCTCACCTTTATCGTTTCCGCGCAGCACATCCATGGGAGCCGACCATCACCTCACTTTGTGTACGACCCCTCGGCCTTCGCCTTCCGATCCCTGAGCACCTTGAAGCCTCTGAGCCCGATAGCTCCAGTTGAAGAACCATCATGTGCCTACTGAAGGAGATAACGCCAAACTCTCAGGAATCCTCATTCCCAGCAGGGACTGGGCGTGGGAGGGCATGTTTTTGTTTGTTTTTTTGTTTTGCAATAACCACCAAGATTGTTGGTAACAGGAGATGGGTGGCTTTTCTCTTGCCTGTTTTTCATGCCGTCGTAACTTCTGAAGATTTGCAGAAAGGGAATGTCTGTGCATTGAGCAAGCTCAGCTCATAAGCCATAGTACAATTATCAAGATGGTGTCTGATAACGCAGAAAGCTGTTTTTCTTACAATTAAAAGTTGGCATCTTGCCCTAATGAATGAGCAGTGATCCATGTGGTGGAATGTGAAGAATAAGCAGGGTTCTATCATTTCCCTCCCCAAATCTAATGGGAGTTGTTCTCTGTAGCCCAGTGAACCTTGCCAAGGATTAGAATGCTCTCTGGTCTCATTAACTAAAGGTCAAGGTGGATCTGGCTTAGCTGCCCCTGGAGGGTGGACCAGATCTTCTTTGTGTAACCACATTACAAGGCTGGAACAAGAAGCACATTGAGACACGGCACAAACACACACTTCTAGAGTACATCCCAAAGGATTTTCTCATCTGCCGAGTTCACTAACATTACATGTTCTTGCCCTGTGCAGTCTAGAATATGCCATGGAGCCCCAGGATGTTCTATGTCTGGCCAGATGTTAGTCAGAAGGTACTCAGGAAAGAAGATGGGGCTGGAAGAGGCACAATTTCCTCTCACTTTGGCTAGAAAACCCCTTATTGAGCCATGAGAGCATCACTTCCTTGGGCGCCGTCCCCATCTGGCTGGGGAATATGTATGAAAACCATAAGTGCACGGTTGGGTTCCCAACCATGTGTCTGGCTCCATCCATGTGATCACACTGCTCACATCCTGCAGCTGCATGGGTTAGCACTGCAGGGGATAGAATAATGTGTGCTTGGGTTGCCTTTGATTTATATTCACTGCACTAGTTGAGATATAATAGGCACTGGGAGCAAACATCGGCTCTCAGCCGGCTGTTCAGTTGACTCTTTGTAGATCTGAGTGAGGGAGAAAGAGGAAGACAAAATGTATTTTACTAACAGCATCTTTATGGGGGCCGGAATGCTGCTTTTACACGACTGCAGTCCCCTCTGCTCCACATTGATGATCTTTCTTCTTGCTTGTCTGCATTGACGTAAGAGGGGCTAGTTTTTGGTGCTGTTAAATGGCCCAGATTTTACAGCAGGGATGGGGAACCTATGATTCTCCAGGTGATGTTGGACTGCCATCAGTCCCAGCCAGCATGGCTAATGGTTAGGGGGGGATGGGAGTTGTAGTCCAGCCAAATCTGGAGGGCCACAGAATTTGCTGCCTCTATTTACAGGGTACCCTTCAAATCAGATGAAATCTACAGTGTCTCTTGGGCCTACACTGTTTTCTCTAGTTCTGTGATTTCAAAGATGTGTATTCAGACATCTGTCTTATCGGTGTACTATAATAATAAGGTGTACAATCGAGCAACCATTTCTGATGTGTAATCACCATTTTTAATTTTGAAAAACATATATGCAAAACAATATTGGGAAATGTGAGTCTCCCATAGCATGAACAACTTCTTTGAAACTTGGGGAGGAATTAAGTGCTGTGCTGTTCTGATCATTCCATCAGCGCAAGCTTTTCTGCTTGCCAGACAAAATTGCCCCCTTCACCCCACACACTGTTCTCCTCCTGACCCCCCAGAGCAGATTTGGGGGAGAGGAGGAGGAGGGGGGAAGCCCCATTGCACTGCCTTTGCACTAGCTCATGCTAGCATGCTGGGTTAATTGAATCTGGGCCTTAGATCTTAATCTTGTCCATAGAACATATTCTGTATAGAAAAAGCCAACCTCAGTTGCTCATGTTTCCTTTGGAATCCCAAGTCCAGAATTTCCAAGAGTATGAGTTGACTCTGCTGCCTTAAGTCCTCCCTGCACATAGGTGGCAGTGGATGGAATGTTTGTGATAATGCTTTGGGTTGTTTTTTTTACTGCCCCATCCCATGAAAGAAAAATTTGGTGGTGTGCACAGCCTTCTTTTCACCAGCATCAATGAAATAAAAAGCAGGCTGCTTTTTGTCCGCTGGCTTGCTCTGATAAGAACAAAATCAACGAGGAATGAAATAAGGCAGGTCTTTTTTGGAAACATTTCCAGTTAAAAAGAGGGGAAATTTGCTTCCTTGTCTTTTATTGCTATTTTTGCAGGCTCTATGGTCAACAATGCATGGTGGGATTTGTAATCTTTATGGGCTTTAGCCTCCCTATATGACAAGGGCAAATGTAACCTAGTTTGCCGTTTCTGCAAGTTAGGTTTGGCCTACAAACAGCCAGCATGAATCGTGGTCAGGAAAGGTTTGGGGTGCTACTTCCCCTGCCTAGAGCCAACTGCTTGTCCCACAGACACTACAGAGCGCCCCCCCCCCCCTTGCTAAGCAGGATGACTATTTCTGATTGGCCCAGAATATGCCGTCCCAGATGATGCTCCAGGATGAAGGAATGGAGGGGAGACGAACCTCTGTTAATGTTGCCTTTCTTTAGTACTTTTGTAACATTTCTCTCTCTGTGGTTTTTCAATCAGAACAATAAAGTTACATTTTAACTGCTGCTATATTCACTGCTGGTTTTTTTGTCTCTGAGGACATGAAAAGCAGGGTTTTAGTTTACTACAGTATTTCAAATTAGACAGGGCCCCCGGGACTCCCATGTTTAAAATATTCCTCATCCCACAACAAGGGAACCCGAGCAGCTTGACTGGAATCAGTCACGCAAGTTCAGGGAAGTTGCACAGGCTTGACCTTTGCAGTTTTTGCTGTAATAAAAGAAAAGGCTGCTTTTGCAACGTTTTACTGGTCAGCCTTGATGAGCAACAATTCTGCCCTGCCCCCCAGAGGGAGTCATCAACCCTATATGCAACAGCAGATTTGGTATTTCCACAGCGTTGTGAGGTCAGTGTGAGCAAGTAGGTTACACATCTCGCATGCACGAAGCAACACCTGAAATGACTGGACACTGCCCTGCAGTGAGGAATTGGGGGCTGTGTGACTGGACACTGCCCTGCAGTGAGGAATTGGGGGCTGTGTGACTGGACACTGCCCTGCAGTGAGGAATTGGGGGCTGTGTGACTGGACACTGCCCTGCAGTGAGGAATTGGGGGCTGCGTGACTGGACACTGCCCTGCAGTGAGGAATTAGGGGCTGTGTGACTGGACACTGCCCTGCAGTGAGGAATTGGGGGCTGTGTGACTGGACACTGCCCTGCAATGAGGAATTGAGGGCTGTGTGACTGGACACTGCCCTGCAGTGAGGAATTGGGGGCTGTGTGAATGGACACTGCCCTGCAGTGAGGAATTTGGGTGTGTGTGTGTGTGTGTGCAAGGACTGGTTCACACAGCACTGAGAATGTGACTCCCTGCAGCTGATACTTAGAAAAGATTAGCTGTTTGCCAACAGTTTGCTGTTGAAAGTTAGAAGAGACATTGCTGTGAGAATAGAATTATGGTCTATAGGCCAGGGTGGCAGTCTGGGCTCTACTCCCTTGGTGAGAGGACAGGAATCGGAGATCATGTACCAGAGTTGGGCAGAAGTGACTCTGAGGGTGGACGAGGCCAAAACCAAAAGTTGGGTGGGCCACCCCTCTTCTCTCTTTCCCTCTCCCCCCTTCATCATCCATCCCCGGATCCAACCATTCATACTCAAGAGACAATTATCCATCCTGTTCACACAGAAGCAGTCTGAGGCATGAGAAGTTTGGCCTGGAGTTGATCAGTCCTTGACTACTCGGCAGCTGAAAGCCTCAATTGTGAAATTTGGTGAACATCTTTGAACAGTTATGAAAGCTCTTCATATACATATATTACTCACTTTTTCAGGAGAATAGCGCTATCATTGTTAGCCAAGTCCTTTGTGTCCAGAAGTAGTGCATGCCATCAGCGAGAATTGCACCCATGATCACCTGTACCCATGATCTGTATCTGAGCGCCAAACTATATATTACAGAAGGCATAAGGAAGTTATAGCCCTCTAAATGTTGTTGGTCTTCAGTTCCCATCAGCCTCAACCAGCATGGCTAATGGTCAGGATCTGGGATAATTGGAGTTGTCATCCAGCAGCGTTTGGAGAGCACCAGATTCCTGATTTTCCCATCCACCACAAGGATCCCCCCAAAAATCCCCCCAGGAGCTGCTATTTACCCCCAAGGTGCTGTTTGCAGCTGGAGGGGCATTATCGAAAGGAATAGGAAACTCTTCCCAGGCTGGACTGCCAACAACTATTTCCTTTAAAATAAAAGTGCCCCAGTTAAGCACACTTTCTAAAAAGCATGAATAACATATAGTTTTGTCTGAGTGTCCCAAGTATAGCTGAACGGCTGTTACTGGAGAGAATGCTGGACTACATGAAAATCTGGCCTGAACCTGCATGATCATTTTAATGCCAAATTAATGTGGTAGCTTTTTGGAAAAGGCTAAATTTAAAAAAAGAACAAATTGGGATTTATTTTAAAGGCTAGTTGTGCTGGCTGCAGTTTTGGATTACCTTTCCCACCGTGATTTGCTATGATGGCATTTATGTATGATATTGCTCATCTCCTGACTTCCATCTATGATGGAACTCAAGGTGGCCTATGTCAGTTTCCCAGGAGGTCTTGTGCAAGGCTGCTGGTTCATATGCCAACTTTGGGTTGGGGTTGAGCAAATCCTCTGTTAATGTTGCACTGCTAGAGGATGAATGAAGTCCGGGTGGTACTAACCTAGGAGCTGTAGTTCAGTGAATTTGTGCAGCTGCTCATATGTATGAAATCTACTGCGTGTGCCCAAAGGATGACAGTTGTTTTAAATGCCTTCTCTTTTGTTCAGAGAGGTTGCTCCATGATGTAAACTGAGCACAGCTGGTCGGCGGTTGAGCTTGCGGTTAACAGCCAGAGCACTTCCAGTAACATTTGAGTCCCAGCCCTCATCCTGTTGCCTCGGCGTGCAGGTGTTTCCCTTCAAAGGTGAAAGCAGCTTATTTAGATTCCAAAAAGGGGGTGGATACTCAGAACATAAACAGAGGCTCCTGGATCAGGCCAATGGCCCATCGAGTGCAGCATCCTGTTCTCAGAAGGGTCAACCTACAAGCAGGACCACGGCGTAAGAGCGCTCTCCTCTCCTGTTTCCAGCAACTGGTATTCAGAAGTATTACAGCCTCCTGACTGTTGAGGCAGAACATGACTATCATGGCTAGTAGACATCAAGGTAAAAGGTAAAAAGGTAAAGGACCCTAGCGGCTAACACCACACTGAGAAGCATATGTTTTCCCTTAAAAAAAATCTTCAGCACCCAGCCTGGGGATGAGTTCTGTATAACTCAGAAGTTTGCACATGGTATTGTGAGCATTAGTTGGTCCCAATAAAGCTATTGATTTTCCTGGGAGAGGGGGAGGTAAAGGACCCCTGGACAGTTATTAAAGGTAAAGGGACCCCTGACCATTAGGTCCAGTCGTGACTGACTCTGGGGTTGCGGCGCTCATCTCGCTTTATTGGCCAAGGGAGCTGGTGTACAGCTTCCAGGTCATGTGGCCAGCATGACTAAGCCACTTCTGGCGAACCAGAGCAGCGCACGGAAACGCTAAGTCCAGTCAAAAGTGACTATGGGGATGTGGTGCTCATCTCGCTTTCAGGCCTAGGGAGCAGGCGTTTGTCCACAGACAGCTTTCTGGGTCATGTGGCCAGCATGACTAAACCGCTTCTGGCACAACGGCACACCATGATGGAAACTAGAGCGCATGGAAATGCCATTTACCTTTCCACCACAGCGATACCTATTTATCTACTTGCACTGGCATGCTTTCAAACTGCTAGGTTGGCAGGAGCTGGGAGAGAGCAACGGGAGCTCACTCCTGGCTGTTGAGGCAGAACACAACTATCATGGCTAGTAGATATAAGTAGCCTTATTTGCCATGTATTTGTCCAGGCCTCTGTTAAAGCCATCCAAGATGGTGGACTTCACTGCCTCTTGCACAAGCGAGTCCTATAGTTTAAGTGTCGTGTGCAGAAGTAATTTATTTCCTCTGTCCTGAATCTTGCAGTCTTGGATATTTTACCAGTTTTAGTGTTAATGAGAGCAGGAGAAAAACTTTGCTTTATTCCTTTCCTCCATGCTGTGCATAATTTTACAAACTGCTATCATGTTGCCTCTTCCTTGCCTTTTCTTTAAACCATAGGTAGGCAAACTAAGGCCTGGGGGCCGGATCCGGCCCAATCGTCTTCTAAATCTGGCCCGTGAACGGTCCGGGAATCAGCGTGTTTTTACATGAGTTGAATGTGTGCTTTTATTTAAAATGCATCTCTGGGTTATTTGTGGGTCATAGGAATTGGTTGATATTTTTTTTTCAAAATATAGTCTGGCCCCCCACAAGGTCTGAGGGACAGTGGACCGGTCCCCTGTTGAAAAAGTTTGCCGACCCCTGCTTTAAACTAAAAAAGCCTCGATTGCTGCAACTTGTCTTCATAAGGGGGTCACTCCACCCACTTGATAATTTTGCTTGTCCTTTTTGGAAACTTTTCTTGTGGTGTTTCCCTCACCCCTACGAAACGTTCTCCAGCCTCTTCAGCTCTCTGTATCATCCTGATCTGCAAAAGCACCACAGGAGGACTTAGTCCACAACATCTTCTCCTAAGCTTTAATCTGAAATGTGGGAAGCCTGACTACCAAGTGGCGTAAGATTTTGTTTTAAGGCCTCCCCTAAAAAAACTGGATTAAACGCAGCACTATAAACATCATTCTTAACAGGCTCAGGGATAACCTCCAGTGAGCCCTGGCTTAAATAATACCTTGAATGGTTTTACAGCCATAGAGTTGCTGAGAATCGACATCTTTTGCGAACGTTTCAAAGGGGCGAGTGCATTTCTATTTCTTTCCTTGTTGTCGTGTTCTCTCTTAATGAGCTCCCTCCTTGCACTCGCTGAACAACTCAACAGCTACTTGCAGCCACTGTTTTCTCTCTTGCATCCAATGCCGCTAATCAAGCCACTTACGCTCCTAGACTCGACAGCAAATCATTTCAGCAATTACTACCCAAGAACAATAAAATGCTACTGTTTTTTTCCCCTGGTGTCATTAGCGTGTCCCAGACATTGTGTTCTCCTGCTTTGACGTGCAGTAATAGTCCCGTCCAAATGCATTGCCCGCCGCATTGCAGCTTCCCAGCTGTGCCAGCTTCCCAGCCACAATGGCTTCTCCCTCCTCGGAGACGCTGTTAATTTTCAATTGGAGCCCTCCAATCCGCTCCTGCTACTTGGGGAGTTGCTGTTTAGCCTGTGATTTGCCTAATTTACTATTCTAATTACTGAATTGGCTGGGCAGCCATCTGTCTGCTACGTGAAGTTCCTTGCAACCCCATTCCGAGTATGAGGCCAGTGAAGTTGTAGGGAATACTGAAGACCCATTTAGTCTCTGTAAGGAAAATGAACCTTTGGAGCGTTGTTAACAAGTCCAGAAAGGGTGGCTTCCTCTTAAATTTCAGGAGCTCTTGAACTTTCTTCTGGACTCAGGTTGGTCAAATTGTCTCTTTCTTCTGCACAGGGTGACCACCATCACATTGCCAAAAAGGAGAATTTGTTCCTGGTAAAAGA